AGTTGAATGACCCTGAACAAATCACTTAACTCTCTGCCTGCCTTGGTTTCCTCATCTGTAAAGTAGAAATAATAATAACATCTCCCAAGGTGATTATGAGGACCAAGTGAAATAATGTTTGTAAAGCCACAGGTCACACTGTCAATCTAATAGGGCAAAGAATAACACAGGTGCTCAAATAACCATGATGCAAGGCAAGATTTGAGAAGTACAAAGAATGAGGGGCAGGGCAGCCTAATGGACACAGGGGTGGACTTGGGGGCCTGCCTCTGGACCGGAGCAAGTCACTTAACTGCTCTGTGCCTCGGTGTCCTCATTTTTAAAATGGGAGTATTGACACTAGTGATACTGTTCTTATAGAGCTTCAGTGAGACTCATATGGGATAATTGTGTGGAGGTTTTTGCAAACTTTAAAGCACTATGTTAATGTCAGTTTGTCAGCAAACATTTAATTAAGCACTCACTCTGAGAAAAGAAGCCCAAGAAACCCCTCAGGATGAGGACAGTGCTGAGGAAAGATAGCACCGCTATGTCTGGTCTAGCCAGCACCTGCTTTCTGCTGCCTAAGATAGCCCAGAGGACGACAAAGTCAGTTGGAGACTGAGTCCCAGCTGGGCACTTTCATAAGTACGAGAGAACCAAAGAAAGGTAAAAGCCACCCCCTGCCCTCAGGAAGCTTCATTAGGATGAGAGAGACAGTAGAAAAATAACTAGGTATGTACACGATATATACAGGGTAGATGGAAGGAAATCTGAGAGGGGAAGGCACTAGCAGCTGGGAAAGTCCTCTTGGGGCAGGTAGGATTTGAGCTGGATCTTGAAAGAAGCCAGAGAAGCAAAGAGGTAGAGATAAGGGGCCAATGCACTCCAGGCATGGGAGACAGCCAACGCAAAGCATGGAGATAGATGGAAGATGGAAAAATGTGAGTCAGCTATTGTAGGGTGTATGGAAGGAGAGAGAACGGGAGGAGGGAGACAGGTTACGCAGTCTTAAATGCCAAACAAAGGAGTTTGTATCTGGTCCTGGAAGTCACTGGAGTTCATTAAGCAAGGGATTGACACAGTCAGAGCCAAACTTTAGAAAACAGCGCAGCTAGGTGACAAAATGGATAAGCACCTGGCCCAGGGTCAGGAAGATCTGAGTTCAAATCCAGCCTCAGACACTTACTAGCTGTGTGATGCTGGACAAAGTCTCTTTAGTCTGTCTGCCTCAGTTTCCTCCTCTGTAAAATGAGCTGGAGAAGGAAATGGCAAACTGCTTCAGTATCTTTGCCGAGAAGTATCTTTGTCATGAAGAGTTGGACAAGACTGAAATTACTGAACACCAAACTTTAGAAAAATTACATTCGTAGCTGAGTAGATGGATCAGAGCAGGGAGAGACCTAAGGAAGATTAACTATAATAGAGTCCAGGCATGAGATGATGAGGGTCTGTATTAAGTGGCAGTTGTATATACAGAGGAGAGGGGCCTTCTAGATGAGAAATACCATGAAGGTAGAAATAACACTGTTTGTCACCAGAGCAGATATTTGGGGTGAGTGAGAGGGAGAAGTCAAAGACTACATTCAGGTTAAGAGCCTGGGTAACTGGAAGGATGGTGGTCTGCTCAACAGTAATAGGGAAGGTGAAAAGAGTCAAAGTCTATGTAGGAAAAATGAATTCTCTTTCAGAAATGCTAAGATTGAGATACCTATAGGATGTCCAGTTAGAGATATCCAAGAGGAGGCTGGTGATTCTTGATTGTAGCTCAGGAAAATAAAGGTGGAAATACAGATCTGAGAACCATCTTTGTAGAAGTGATCACTGAATTCACAGGAGTTGATGTTTGGTCCATAGAGCAATGCTGCTTCAGAGATCCAGAGATAGCTCTAAGAGGTTTTGGGGATGTGTGTCAGTACAAATGTCCACAAGCCCCCACCAGTGTCTTCCCTAGTGATGGCCCTTCGATACTGGGTCCAGTTCTGGGCACCATTTTCTAGGAAGGAAACTCACATACTGGAGAAGGTCCAGAGGAGGGCAACCAGGATGGAGAAGGGCGTTGGAGTCACACCATATGGGAACACTAGCCTGCAGAAGAGAGCACTCGGGGAACGTGAGAGCTGTCTTCAAGTATTTGGAGGGGTCTCATAAGAAAGAAGGCTCAGTGGCTCTGTGTAGCTCCTGGGGACATAAGTAGAAACAATGACTGACAAATTCTGGCTTGATATAAGGAAAGTCTTCCTATTGATAAGAGGCGTGTGCTGCCTGGAGTGGTGGGTTCCCTTTTATTGGAGGTCTACAAGCAGAGGTTAGGTATGTCATGGAGGGGGGCACTCTTTTTCAGGTACGGTTCAAACTAGGTGTCTGCTGAGGTCTCTTCTCTGAAGAGGATTTGCACTGGATGTGCAAATCTGTGCTTTTTATTTTGAGAGGAAATGAGAGTGGAATGAGAAAATTGCTGCCCAAGAAGTCAGAAGATCTGGGGCCTAGTCTTAATTTTGTATTTCCTGGCTCTGTGACATTGGGCAAGTGAATCATCATCTCTGAACCTCAGTTTCCTAATCTGTACAAGACAGATAATACTTGCCCTACCTACTTCACAGAGTTATGGGTTGGGGTTTTTTTTTTGGGGGGGGTGGAGGAGCAGGTCTGAGGCCTATAATTTCAACAGTGTAACTAGCCCCACAGATGTAGATTGGCCATAGTCTTAGCCAGCTCCCAGGCTTCCTTTAAGTTCCACCTTTTTTGGGAAGCCTTACCCAACCCCTCTTAATTCCAGTGTCTTTCCTCTGTTAATTATCTCCTATTTATCCTGTATACAGCTTGCTTTGTATATTTTTGTTTGCATGTTGTCTCCCAAGTTAGATTGTAAGCTCCTTGAAGGCAGGGACTGTCTTTTGCCTCTTTTTGTATCCACAGTGCTTAGCACAGTGCCTGGCATACAGCAGGTACTTAATAAATGTTGCTTGATTAGAGAGTTGATGGGGGCACTGAGAGATTAAATCGCTTGCTCAGAGTTGCCCAGCCAATAGAGGCAGATCTTGAGCCCAGATCTTGCTGATTCCAGGGCTGGTCCTTCTATCTGCTTTGTCATCTGCCTAATAGAGGTGTTATGAGGATTGAATGATCTCCAGAAGTCAGGGCTAGAAGGGTCCTCAGAAGCCAAATAGTTTAACTCGTGCCTAAAACAAACAATCCCCTCTATAGAAACTCTGACAGCCAGACAGCCCTCTTTTGCATGAAAACCTCCAAGAAAGGGGTGCTCACCAGCTCTTCAGACAGCTCATTCCACTTAGGGACTTCTCTAGTTGGGATGAAGTTTGTCTTGACATCTAGCCTACATTCAACTCTGCAACCTTCACCCATGGATCCTGGTTCTGCCCCAAAAGGAACGAGGTTAATACATAGCAGAATCACAGAATTTGAAAGTTGGAAGGGATATCAGCAAATCTCTAGAATAGAGCATCATTGTTCAATTGTTTCACTCATGTCTAACTCTTTGTGAGCCCATTTGGAGTTTTCTTGGCAAAGATACTGGAGTGATTTGCCATTTCCTTCTCCAGCTCATTTTACAGATGAGGAAACTGAGGCAAACAGGATGAAGTGACTTGCCCAGAATCACATAGTGTCTGAGGCTGGATTTGAACTCAGGTCTTCCTGATTCCAGGCTGGGTACTCTATGCACTTATGGCGCTCCCTAGCTACCTGCTAGAATAGATCGCTCATACACAAAAATCACCTTCAAGAACTTGAGTCTTGTCTCTACACAAGCTAAGCATCCCCCCATCTTCTTGTTGCATGGACTCAAGACCCTTCATCGTCCTGGTTACCTTCCTCTCTGGAAGCACTCCAGCTTATTGGGACCCTTCCTAAAATGTGGTCCCCAGAACTGAGCACAATAGCTCATTGGTTTAGAACTAGAAAGGATGTATGTTAAAGGCCATAAGGGGCAGCTAGGTGGCACAGTGGATAGAGCACTGGCCCTGGATTCAGGAGGAACTGAGTTCAAATCCAGCCTCAGACACATAACTCTTACTAGCTGTGTGACCCTGGGCAAGTCACTTAACCCCATTGCCTAACACCCCCCCAAAAAAAAAGGCTATGGAGTCTGTTTTACAGATGAGAAAAATGAGATCCAGAGAACTCATGGAAGCATAGAGTGAAAGCTGTAAAGAACCTTAGAGGTCATCCAATGCAATCCTTTCATTTTATAGATGAGGAAACTGAGGCCAGAGAGATGCTAGGATTATAGAACCAAAGCTGGAAGGGACCTTAGAAGTCATCTGATCCAAACCCCTCACTTTACAAAGGAGGAGACTAGAAAGAAGAATGGTCTTGCCCAGGATCACACAGGGAGGAAGCAAGTAGAGTCAGAATTTGAACCTGGGACCTTCAGGCTGAGTCAAGTCTCCTTTACACAAATCCCCATTGCCTCAACACTCCAGGCTGCTGTAGGATGATGCAAAGGGAGGGTACTTGCCATCTCTTTGCCTCAGTTTCCTCATTTGTATAATGTCTTTAAAGTTCCCTTCTACCTCCAAATGTATGACCCTATGGTGCTTACATCTCCAGGGGACTGATGATAGCATCATAAATTTAGGGCCAGAAGGGACATCAGGGTCACCTAGTGCAACCCCCTCATTTTACAGAAAAGGAAAATGAGACCCAGAAAGGCTAAGTGATCTGTCCAAGCTTCTTAGGGGCATTTGAACCTCAGAGCCTCCAATTTCAGAGCCAACGTCTTTTCAAATGTCACACTTGGCCCCTTCCTCTTGATACAAAAGTGATAGACTATGGGTACAGAGGCAGCTAGGTGGCGCTGCGGTGGATAGTGCTGGGCCTGGAGTCAGGAAGACTAATCTTAAGTTCAAATTCAGCCTCAGACACTTCCTAGCTGGGTGACCCTGGGGAAGGCACTTCAGCCTGTTTGCTTCAGTTTCCACCCTCATCTGTCAAATGAGCTGGAGAAAGAAATAGCAAATCACTCCAGTATCTTTGCTGAGAAAACTCAAAGTGGGGTCATGAAGAGTCAGAATTGACTGAAAATGACTAAACAGACATGGTGAGTATACTGGTTTGTTTCCCTTTAAAATAGGTTTTTATTGTCAGGGAGGGGGAGGAATATTGGGAAGTAACAATGGTTTTTTTTTAAAAACCAACCCATTAATGAAACATTTTTGAAATATGAAAGGCACAGTTTCTTGCTTTTGTTTTTCTTTAAATAATGAAATCTGTTCCAAACAGAATAAACCTTTGCCTTGTGCCATTTTCTGATTAAATTGTCTGGGTCACTAACCATGGCGAGGTCTCCAAAATGCAGCCTTACACCTTGTTAATGATACACCATCTGTTTGTTCACACGGTGTAATCACATGATCTTTGCTCCAGAGAACATCCTGTCTCACTGGTCCAAACCAGTTTGTGGGCGAAGTATCTTGGACTCATGCCAAGCAATAGCTGCTGGTTGGTTTTTTTTTTTTCTGTTTTACATAGTTTAAAAGTTGGTTGTCAAATCTGAGCTGGTCAGGAGGTTTTCTTTTTTTTTTTTATCATTATCATCATCACTATCACCATCATCATCATCACCACCATCATCACCATCATCGTGATCATTTGTTGACAATGCTTTTATTCTCACTCCCATCTTCACTGAGACAGGATTTTGCCCTGGCCTTTGCACAGGAGACTGGAATGTTCTCTCTCCTCCACCCGTGCCTTTGGAATCTCCAGCTCCCTTCAAGGCTCTGCAAGTCCATTTTTCTTGAAAATCCCAGGGATTAGAGCTCCCTTCCAAAAATTATCATGGGAACATAGCTTTTTATAGATCCTCTGAAAGGGATCAAGCTATGAAATCCAACAATTCTCCTTCTTTGGAAATAGGGAAATGGAGGCACAGAAAAGCTAGATCATTTACCCAGGTTATACAACTATTAAGTGCCTGAGGCAGGATTTGAACCCAGGACTTCTTGACTGCAAGGCCAGTTACATATTTGTTAAACCCCCATGCTTCTCTTTCTTGGTTCTTCCTTTGTATGCATTTTGTATTTGGAGGAATAGAAGGGCAGAGTGGAGAGAGAGAAAAAGAACTGACCTCTGAGTTTGTCTCATCGTCGCTGTGTCAGCTGGGACAAGTCACTTGATATCTTAGTGCCCCAGACAATTCTTCTCTCAGTCCCAACCAAATGGTCATCACAATAGTCATTTTGCCTCTATCTACTCGTCCTTACCTGTTACCCTCAAGTGTTAGTCCTTCCTCACCCTAAAATTACTTTGTACTCAATTTGTAGCTATTTGGGGTTATTGATGCGTGCATGTTTTGGAAGCTCCTTGAAGGTAGAGATAGCTTTGATTTTTTAATCTCTGCATCCATCGAATTATCTGTCCACGTGTGTTTTCCTCCAATAGAATGGAAGCACCTTGAGGGTGGGGATTGAGGGAGGGCAGAGTTTGGTTTTGTATATCCAGGGGCTAGCACAGCTAGGTGGCCTTTCCTAGATGTGTGACCCTGGGCAAGAAACTAAATCTCTGTCTGCTTCAGTTTCCTCAACTGTAAAATTAAGATAACCAAACCTATCTCCTGTGGTTGTTGAGAGGATAACATGAGATATTTAGAAAGTACTTTGCAAACCTGAAAGCTCTAGCTGTTATTAACACAATGCTTGGAGCAGCAGGACCATAATTCAGTCATGCTTGTTGAATCTAATTGAATGGAATTGATTGAATTGGAATGGAATGGATGGACTGAATTGACCAAGGCTAGTTTAAAGGTAGGGTGTGAATTTCAGAGGGAGTTGTTTAGAGCTAAAAAGAAACAATAGGAGGCCCTTATAGAGGGGCCCAAGTCTATAAGTATTTTTTTCTAATATTTAGCATTTTTTACTCACAATCAAGCAAGTGACCAGCTTTTATTAAGCATCTTTTATGTACCATGCACTGGGCTAGGTGCTAAAGACAGATAAAAGGAACAGTCCTTTCTTTCAAACAGCATGTGGTCTATCAGAGAGAAATTATGTATATAGATGAATAAATTATATACATATATATGTACATATGTTATTGACATAGATAGATAGATAGATAGATAGATAGATAGATAGATAGATAGATAGATAATGTCACCTGTATCCTGGGAGCAGCCCCCTTTCACAAGGGGCTCCTTCTCTGGATTTACATGGCATAGGTTCAGTCCTAGCGCAGTGTGGTCCCCAAAGAGAAGGGATTCAGGCTTTTTCTGGGAGGGGCACTCTATGATTCCTTATGCCCCCATACCAGAGCCCTAGGGAAAATGTCTTACGTAAAGCTTAAATATGGCTTATTTCTATAATCTAAGTGGTTCTGGAGAGGTAATACAAGTACAAAGTACTTTCCAGGCATGCATTCAAAGTTCAGCTCTTTTGGCCAGTCAAACGTGCTGGTGGTAGTCATCTTCTCCTGTGAGAAGGGTACAGGTCAGCCAGGACCTGATTCGGGAATGTTTTAACTCTTGATCTCACTAAGGTAGTTGCCAAGGCTAAAAACATCCATCTCAGCATTGCTATTAGGTCACTTGTACTCAGAGGAGAAGACATAGAGCAAAGGAGTCATTGAGAGACCTGAGGACCAGTCTCAGGCCAGCCTAGACAAGCATGTGAACTCATTGTCACAGGAGGCTATATAGCCTCCTGAGCTGCTGTTGTGGAGGGGAAGGGAGAGAAAGTTGAAAGGTGAGCTGTAGGAGTCTCAAGCCGCATATTCAAAAGAGGAGAGCAAAGAACTAGAATGAACATTGTTCTTTTCTTTAAAAGCTTGCTAAGTGGGTGACCTGTCTTCCTCAGCTGCCAATCAATCATCTTTGACACAACCCTCAGGGACCATGAATCGGGGGCCTCTAGTCACACATATCCTTTAGCAAGGGTGCAGAGTAGAAGGAAGCCTGTCAGAAGTGACCAGGGCATAATTCAATTCAATTCGATGAATGTTTTTTAAGTGGCTTCTATGGGCCTGGCACTGTGCTAAGCCCTAGGGAGACAGACACAGACAGCACCTGTTCTGGAGTCAGGAGGACCCAGGGCAATTCACTTAATCTGAATTGCCAAGGAAGGCAAAAAGGAAGGAAGGAAGGGAGGGAGGGAGGGAGGAAGGGAGGAGGAAGGGAGGGAGGAAGGAAGGAAGGAGGGAGGGAGGAAGAGCATGTAAGAGCATGGAAGCCACAGGACCTGAGTTCAAATCTCAGCTCTGTTACTTGCAACCTCTGGGTTACCTCACCAGGACTCAGTCTCATCATTTGTACAAATGAGTTGGACAAGGCAGTGGCATGGTACTGTGGAAGAAACACTGGCCCTGGAATCTGAGAATCTGGGTTCAAGATCCTGCCTCTAACACTTACTACCTGTAAGTATTGACTTGGGCAAGTCATTTAAACTCCCTGCACCTCAGTTTCCTCACTTGTAAAAATGAAAGGACTAGACCAGATGGCTTCTGAGGTACCTTTTAAACCTAGATCTATGATTGTATCAAAACATTCCCCATCTTCAAGGAACTTCCATTCCACTGGGGGCAGAGTGAGGGGTACCATGTATACAGATAAGTAGACACAAAAGGGGATATGTAGATTCAAGGGGGAATCGGGAAAGCTCTCCCAAGGTATCTCATTCTTCTTTGGGATAATTTCCAGGTTTGGGAAGTTTTTTCTTCATTATGTCCACCTCTCTGCAACTTCTAACCATTACTTCCAGCTCTGCCCTCAGGGGCCAACCAGAAAAGGCTAATCCCTCTTCCACATGCCAGCCAGTAGATAGATAGAAAGACCTGAAGTCAAGGAGACCTGAGTTCAAATCCAGCCTCAGTCCCTTATTAGCTGTGTGACCCTGTGCAAGTCACTTCAGCCTGTTTGTCTCAGCTTCCTCATCTGTAAAAGCTGGAGACAGAAATGGCAAACCGCTGTGCCAAGAAAAGCCCAGATGGGGCCATGAAGGGTTAGACATGACTGAAATGACTGAACAACAACAAAGGGCCTTCGAGCTCTGCGTCTATCATCCTGTCTCAGAATGGTAGCCATTTGCAACTTATAAAACTCAGTCGCAGATTTAGAAGGAATATCTTTGGTGTTTGTTCTTTGCTCTCGAAGAGGGCCATGACATCAGGGAGGTGAGGCCATGACTTGCAAAGTGAACTGGATTGAAGTGAGCTAGGGCTGTGCAAAGTCACCAGCCTCACTTTCTCCTCCGGAGCCACATCAGTCCAGTGGCCAGATATAGATCAGACTGACTGGAGATGGCCCCAGACACAGTGGGAGACCTTGACCTTTTTAAGGTGTCAGTTTGACAGTAACAGAAAAACTTCCCCCAACAAGGGCTCTCCAGGGACCGCAATCTGGGACTGGATTAGTGTTTATGGTGGACAGGACACACCATTGAGTCACATGAAATTAGAGGTTCCCTAAGACCCCAAGACCAGGTCTTTAAGCAGAAGATAGATGGTGTCTTTGAGGATACATATAGAGTGAATTCTTTTCATGTATAGATTGGACGATTGGAAAGAGTGCTGGTTTTGGAGTCAGAAGATGTGGGTTCTAATCCTGCCTTTATCACCAACTACCCGTGTGACCTTGGGCAAATGACTTAGCCTCACTGGTCTTTAGTTTCCTTATCTGTAAAAGGAAAGATTGGACTAGATGACTCTGATGTCCTTCCCAGCTCTAAATCTATGGTCCTATGACCCTTGAGCCTCTATGGGCCTTAGTTTCTCCAATCTGTAAAATGGGAGAGGCTCTGTGTTCAAATCCCACCTCTGACACTTAACTCCCTGTATGACCTAGGGTGAGTCACTTAACCTCTTTGACTTCAAATAAAAGTAAAATAAATTAGATTAAATTGGTCAATCGATAAGCATTTATTAAGTACCTACCTTGTGCTAAGCACTAGAGATCCAAAGGAAGGCAAAAGACATTCCCTGCCCTCACAATCTAATGATCTCTTAGGCTGCTTTGAGCCCTAGATCTAGGCTTCTGTGTCTAGTTTTCCTCTGAAGCCCTTTCCTCCAGATTGAGCATCTTCTGTTCATTCACCTGTGCCTTGTACGTACCCAGTCTCCAGGTCCACCTCCTGTAGATACAGTCTCTCCAGCTAGTCAGTGTCCTTCCTGGAAGGGAGCAACCAAACTTGAACATCATGCTCCAGCTTTCTTGGGAATCATGGCCCATGCCAGTGATTCACGATTACGTGTTTCACAGCTTAGAGCTTGTGCAATTGCTCTTCTTCAATCACGGGAGAATCAATGACTCAGAACCTTGCTTATCAACTGCTGATAGCAGTTTGCAGCCCATAAAACCCAGCAGTTCCCCTGCCCCTTAGCAGAGAAAACACCCGCACCTGTCCTTTTTGGCACATCTGGAAGAGGTTTCAACACCTCCAGCCACCCCAATGGAGCCTTTGTTCCTCCCCCATCACCACCATTGACGGAATGGGCTCCCTGCTGGGACACGTTAATTTCTCCCACCCCCCATTTATCTTTGAGCACCAGTAAGTAAAATCACTCTGATGATTTTTTCCTTGACAAGCCCATGAGTCATTCAAGCAATATCTTGGAATTCACTCAGCTCCTGAGTCCTAAAACAATTTGAGCAAATTACTACTAGTCAGCATAAAAATGAGAGAGAGAGAGAGAGGAGAGAGAGAGAGAGAGAGAGAGAGAGAGAGAGACAGAGAGAGAGACAGAGAGACAGAGACAGAGAGAGAGACAGAGAGAGAGAGAGAGGGAAGGAGAGAATGGCAGTTATGGGAAACAAAGCTATGGAAAGTGTTACAATCAGAAAGAGCAGACCAGTTTTGTCCGTTGGAAGCTAGCAATATGTAACATGATTCGCTTTCTTGGTCAGTGGAGTACACCATTGACCCCTATTGAGCTAAAATGCTTGGGTCTCCTGAAAATAAAAGGGAGAGATGATTATTGGACTGAAAGCTTCTGGTTCCCCATGGTGCCACCATTGGAGGTCTTCAAGCAGAGGACAGATGACCTCTTTGGGGTTATATTGTAGACTTGACATGAGGCAAGAAGTTTCCTTCACATCTTAGTAAGCGTTAGGAGAGACCTGACTTCCAGGAATGAGGAGGTGCTGTACTCCATCCTGGTTAAACCCCCATCTAGAGGACTAATGTCCTCTCTGGGTAGCATATTTTAGAAGGGACATTGATATATTTTGGAGAGTATCCAAAGGAGAGCAATCAGGGTGGTGAAGAGTCTCATGCCATACAGGAGGATCATTTGAAGGAAATGGGAGAGGATAACTGGAAAAGACAAGATTGACAGTAGGTGTAGGTGGGGTGAGGAGGTGCGGACATGGTAACTATGATCGAGTATCTGAACTCACCAAAGGGAGGAAAGTTAGGTGACTTTGCATTAGCTATATTGTAGAGGATTCTTGTTAGGGTATAAGTTAAATTGGGTGGCCTCCAAGGACTCTTCCAACTATGAGATTTTATGTCTGTAAATACAAGGACAGGGATGGGGGTTATTACCTTACTCATGGAGGATATGTCTCTGCTAACTAATGTATGACCATATATAACTGCTCTTGGCCTCAGTTTCCCCATCTAATGGCTCACATTTGTATAAGGCAGCTGGGTGGCACACTGGATAGAGTGCTGGGCATAGAGTCAGGAAGACTCAGCTCCCTGAGTTCAAATCTGGCCTCAGCTACTTACAAACTGTGTGACCCTGGGCAAGTCACTTCACCCTGTTGCCTCAGTTTGCTCACCTGTAAAATGAGCTGGAAGAGGAAATGGCAAACCACTCCAGTATCTTTGCCAAGAAAACCCCAAATGGGGTCATGAAGAGTCGGACACGACTGAGCAACAGCATTGAATAAGCAGCAAAGGTTTGTGGCTGTGACATTCCAAATGGCTTCGTATTTCCATCATCATTCTCTTTCTTCCCCCACTTTCCTGTGGTCACTGAGTTTGTTTTTCTGGTTCTTTCCCTTCACAGATATTTAGAACCATTTTTCATGCCTAGTATGACTTTCACTGTCTGCATGTAGTAAACCAATCAAGACCGTTCAGAGCTCACATCTTCCCTTCCACCCTCACTAATCTGATTTTAATTAGCTAGCTTTCCCAAGTGAGGGCTCAAGGGCACCTGCAGGTTAATGATGACAATTAGCATTTGATTTCCTGTTAATGACAGCCAGTATTTGTTTTTGCCTGTAAGTGAAAGGGTGATGGGATTCAGAGCTGGAGGGGACCTCAGAGATCTTTGGGTCCAGCCCCCCCTTATTTTGCAGATGAGGAAACTGAGGTGAAGCCAAGAGTGACACACACATTTCCCCTCTTATAGGCAAGGCTAAGGCTAAATCGAGCATGAGACATACTCTCAATATAATTTGCTACCCAGACTATCTCATCCCATCTTGCCTGGTTTTATCAGAATGAATTTTGAGGATCATTGTGGGAACCGGAATAATTCTTTATCATAGTAACTTTTGAGTCTAGCAGCACAATTGTGAAATAATAATAGTAAAATAAATAATAAATTAAATTGTTAAACAGTAATCAACCATTAATAATAAATGCCTTGAGAAACAACATGTAGTGGATAAAGAGCTGGCCTCCCAGACAGAAAGACCTGCCTTTCCAATCCCTCCTCTGACATACACCTGCTCTCTGACCTTGGGTTTCGGGGGGTGGGGGGTGGGGGTCCTAGGCAGCTCTCAAAGTTGCAGAGATGTTGATTTGAACTGATAGAGGGAGATGCCTTATTAGGAGTTTCCTCTATCAGTGAAATCACATATCTAGAAACAAATGTGATTTCATTCCCCTGAAACATAAATAAAGATACTTATTTAGTATATAATGTGTTTTATACTATATTATATCTTTATATTTTGTTATATACACATATTATCTGTAATACATTATGGTATCCAAGTCTTAGAGCTGTTTTAAGTCTTTCTATGCAAATCCATAATACAATACATAGGTGTTTAATCTATGTATATCATACGTGATATATTTCACATGCATATTGTGTAGTATGCAGCTACAGTAGCTTATTAAAACTGCACCGTGACATTTAGGACAACATGTTTTTCTTTTTCTTTTCTTTTCTTTTGTGTCCCATAGCTGTAGCTTCCCAATGATTTCGCCTGCAAGACCAGTAATGTTAAGATTTTCTTTTAATGCTAATAAATTGTCCTACTGTTTCCCTTTCCAAGCTCCATCAATAAGGCTACAGCTTTCTTCCTTCTTAGAAAAATAATCAGCATTTATGTCACACCTTACCTACACTATGTCTCCTGCCCCTCACAATGACTATTATAGGTCTTACGATCCCCATTTGAGAAAGGAGGAAACGGAAGAAGCTGGCCACTTGGCAAATTGCCCAGGGTCTCACATCCAGCAACTGAGGCAGGATTTGAACCCAACCTTCCTGACTTGGAGTTCAGCCCTCAATCCTCTGTGCCCTTGTTATTCTCAAATTACATATGAAGAAACCGAGGCTAAATGAAGTTATGTGGCTTGCTTATGCTAGTGTCCAAGACAGGATTGGAGCCCACACCTTCCTGATGCCAAGCCCAGCACTACCCACTAGGCTATGTGGCCTCTCATTTTAAAGTAACTGGTTTTCATTCTGTTCAGGTTGCACTATGGGAGCCATCAGAATCCTGTTTATACCAAATCCAAATAGCAGGAAATTCAACAAACATTTACTGAGAGTCCTTTAAACATAATGAGAGTCGTTTAAGGCAAAAATAAATAACACAGGATCACTGCTCTCACAAAAATGGTAGCCTAGTAAATGAAATCCAACCCATATGTACTCATAGAATATGAATTAGATACAGAGGCAGGTAGGTGGCACAATAGATAGAGTTCTAAATTTCGGGTCAGGAAGACCTGAGTTCAAATCCTAATGTCATCTTAGACTGCTTTGAGAGGCACAATATCCAGGCCTAGGGAGGTGAGGGAGGTCCTCTGTGCTCTGCCTTGATCAGATCAAATTTAGAATCTTGTATTCATTCCTGAGAAATACATTTTAAGGAGGTGGGGCAAAGGCAGACAGGTGATACAGTAGATAGAATGCTAGGCCTGGAGTCAGGAAGACCTGAGTTCAAATCCAGCCTCAAGACACTTACTAGCTGTGTGACCCTGGGCAAGTCGAAACCTTTTGCCTCAGTTTCCTCATCTGTCAAATGATCTGAAGAAGGAAATGGCAAACCACTCCAGTATCTTTACCAAGAAAACTCCAAATGAGGTCACAAAGAGTAGGACACGATTGAACAAGTAAATTGTGGTATATGAATGTATTGGGGTACAACTCAGAGAAACATGGGGAGACTTGTATAGACTGGTACAGAGAAAAGAAAGCAGGACCAAGAGAACAATATACGGGATGAATAATACAGTCGTTTAAATTAAATTTGCATGTGCATTATATAATTTTGTTGTTTAGTCATGTCTGACTCTCTGTGACCCGATGGACCATAGCACACCAATCTGTCCGTGGTGTCCATATCTTGGCAAAGATACTGGAGTGGTTGGCCATTCCCTTCTCCAGTGGATTAAGGCAAATAGAGGTTAAGTGACCTGCCCCCAGGGTAACACAGCTAATAAGTGTTTGGGGCCAGATTTGATCTCAGATCTTCCTGACTCCAAGCCCAGTGCTCTATGTTCTGAGCTACCTAGCTGCCCCATGTTATATATATATATATATATAATTTAAATGATACAGTAATTTATATTACAAAAAATTTTTTTAAAAAACACTAGAAATCAGCTTAAACACTATCACACTTAGTCACAGAGGTTTGTGGGTTCTGATTGTTTTTATTTATTGTGAGAAACAATGGTGCCTTTCTACCTTCTTTTTACAGGTTGGTGACTAAGGATGTGGAACAATACATATCAGACTTTTTCATTGTACCTGGTGGTTTGGCTGAATTGTTTTTGTTTTGCTTTGTTTTTCTCTTCTTTTTAAAGTTACTTTCTTATAAGGGAATGGGGAAGGATATATTGGCAAATGTCAGTGACATAAAAAAGTAAATGAGATCAAATTTAAAAATTTTTTTTAAGTACAGTTATCCCTTCCACATCATGGCTTTTCCCATGGTGGTTTCAATATATCTCAGGCTGGCATAAGCAATTAAATGGCAGTTTTGGTGGGGGGGGTTTGCAGAAGCTGCAGACAACACAGAAAAGGTTTAGAAACTCAGAAATGCATAAAATATATTATAGTATTGTAAAATATTAACACATTTTATCTTTCAATACCATAATAATTCAGGCTTCTTCTCTGGTATGAAGGGAGGGCCAAAATTTTTTGCATGGATTTTCCAGATCATTGGGGCCCACACCCTTAACCCTCAAAATGTGGAAGAGATAACTAGAGTTTTTCTGCCTTCTCTCCGTTACTGGAAATGGAGCCTTTCCTGATCCCCACTCCCCCAGCTGTTAGGGATTTCCCTCATCTCTGAAATGACTTTGTATGCATTTTGTGGGAATCTATATCCACTAGTAGAATATAAACTTCTTGAAGGCAGGAATTGTTTTGTTTTTCTCTTTATATTGCTCTCTCCTAGTACACTGCCTGGCATACAACAGGAACTTAATAAATATTTATTGAATGAATGAATGAATGAATGCATTCATACCAGACTAATCTCATTTCCCTTTTTATGACAGGTTACTAGTCTAGTAGATAAAGAAAATATTGTAGACACTACATACTTGGACTTTGGCAGGGCATTTTTCTTAAAGGGATAATTGAGATTTGACCTATTTACATTTGTAAATATAAAGCCCATAGAAGAGTAGAATATATTGAGAAAAAAAAAAAACAAAGTGAGGCTGAATGGTAAAGAATTGAGGGAGGTCATGGGAGAGACAAAACTTGGCAGAAGGGATCGATTCAGGGTGATTCAATAAATACTCAATTATCTAAATGAAGGAAAACAGGCCTTAATATTTTATGTCTGAACTTTCAGGAAAACAAGAAGAAAAAAATTCCGTTGTACAAAATACACACACTAGGCTCTATGGTCTCATAGGATTGCACATTTGGAGCAGAGGGTATACTCTACAGACCATTGAGTCCAGTCCCCTCATTTTACAAAGAGAAAACAAGGGCCCATGATTACCCGAGGAGTAAGCAGCAGTTTTGGGAGCCAGACCCAGTACCTCTGACTCTTGAGGCAGTAATCTTTCCACCACACAGTCATTTTCAGATGGTATAATCTCTAGACCACATCAAAGAACAAAAAAAAAAATCTAACTCAATTCAACCAACATTTGTTAAGCGTCTATTATGTACCAGGCAACCTAACAGAGATGACCCGTTAGCATCACATCTTAGGAATCCAAATTGAATGTCTTCTGTTCCGGGAAGCCCCTGATTGACTTCCCCCCACCCCCATCCCCATCGTACACCCACGAGGGAAATGTTTATTCAAAGTTGTTTTTTTTTTACAATTAAGGCATCCATTTCCTCCCAATAGTAAGAAAAGAGTTATCTAACCTCGGTTGGGTACTCAGGCAGTCCTTTCATTCCTCCTTCATTGGTTTCCTTTCATTCCCCATAGAAGATATCCCAAACCTCTTCCTCCCTCAAGTCCCCCCATTCACACACACACACACACACACACACACACACACACACACACACACACACACACACACACCAGCCTATCTTTCCCGGCTTCTCGTATATTACTCTCTTTCCCACACTCTACAGTCCAGCCACACTGGCCATCTCTGTTCCTTACACACCTCATCTTCATGCCTTTGCTCCTTCGGTCATCCCACAGATGCGCTAGAATTCACTCCCTCCTTACCTCTGCTTCATAGACTCCCTGTCCAGACCAAGCTCAAACACCTCCTTCTACATGAAGCATTTCCTAATCCTCCCTCCCAGCTGCTAGCACCCTCTCTTTCAAACTACCTGTATTTAATTACTGTATTTATTAATATTATATATGTATATTATACATAAGTATTGCATATAAGTTACATTATATATTATTTAAGTATGTATTATATATAACTGTCCTTTATATGCTTATAAAAGGAACGTGCTGATAAGTGTTTAACAATTGGCTCTCTGGGAAAAAAACGTATGCAAGAGACTGTTCAGTTTAACTTCCATTTTTAACATTTTCTTTACCACTTCCTTAAGTCTAGAGGAAGTCAAAGAAACAGTAAATCAAGCGCTGATTTGTAACGTTTTCCAATTTCCAAGGCATGAACACTCACGATGAAAATTTAATAGTGGGCTTTTGTAACCCGGTAAGAGCTGGCTCTAGCACGTCTCTGCTTGATTACTCTTTGTTGTTTCAGCCATTAAAACCTAAGTTCCTTTTGAGTGGGGATCCTTTCGTTTATTTGATCCGTGACCCTAGTGCACGAAACAGAGCCAGGCACAGAGTGGGTTCCAGATAAGTCTGTTGGTTCATTGATTTCTTTCTGTGTGTATGACTATTTTTTTCCTTTTTATGATAGTCGATTCAGCTCAATTTGGCACGTATTTATTAAATGGATGACCCAGGTATTGTGTGAGGTTTTACAAGTACAAAGATAAGTAAAATCCAACCACTTCCCTCCAGAAGCTGACATTCTGTGAGGGGCAAACAAGATGAACTTTGATCCATGGTAGCAGAATAAGGCAGCCATGGTCAATGTGTTACTTTGTTTTGTTTTGTTACAGGGGAAAGTTCTCTGGGGGAAGGGGAGGGGAAAGTCCTTGAGATGGGGCAACAATAAAAAAAAAACAGCTACCTAGAATGTGCTCAGAGGTGCAGCGGATAGAATACTGGTTTTGAAATTAAAAAGAACGGAATTCAAATTCTGCCTCAGACACTTACTGTCTGTGTGACCTTGGGCAAGTCACTTAAGTTCTTTCTATCTCGGTTTTCTTTTCTGTAAAATGAGGCTAAGAATAGCACTTACTTCCTAGGGTGGTTGGGAAAAAGAAAACGAGATGTTTGCAAAGTGCTTTACAAACCATAACCAAAAAGCAACCCAAAAAACCCAACCCATTTATTATTTTTAGTACAGTCTATTTCGCAGTAATCAAAATCAAGCTCCCAGGACCCAAACGGGAGTCTTTTTCTACCTATTTAAAAACTGAAAGCCTCATTGGTTCTCTACAATCCTGCAGTGCCCCTCTGGTTCTCCACAAATGTTCAAAGATTCCTTGCTGTTAGTTCAACAATCACACCCACAAATCCTTTCTGCAGCCTGGGTTGTCATTCTCTGGGGTTTGGCAGCTCCATTCCGGAACATCAGCAAGAGCTTCATAAGAACAAGTCATTCTGGACTAACCTCATTTCCGTTTTTGTCAGTGTTACCAGACTGGTAAGTCAAGGTCATGGTGTAGATATGGGCCCCTAGATTCTGACAGAGCATTAGATAATGTCTCTCGTGTGATCATTAGGGGCAGATGGAGAAAGATTAATCTAGATGACAGTACAGTTAGATGACTGGGGGACCATTTGGGTCATTCCCCAGTCACCCTCGGATGATTCTGCTCCTAGTCAACATGTCGATCTGCCATGTTTAGTCAGGAGAAGAGATGACTGAGGGTGGGTGGTGGGGTGGGGACGAGGAACATGAGAGCTGTCTTCAAATATCTGAAGGCCTGTCAGTGGAGAAGGGATTAGATGTGTTCTCTTCCACGGGTGGAAGTTTGTCATTTAGATTTGGTGTCAGGAAAAACTTTCTAACAATGAGGAGCCATCTCCAAGTGGAATAGGCTGGTGGTGGGTTCTCCCCTACCCTCTCCTTGCAGGTATTCAAGAAAAGGCTTAACAACGACCTGTGATCAGGGAGTTTCCTTTCATGTATAGGTTGGACTAACTTCTTACAATTCTCAAATTCTGCTAGTTAGCCCTACTGTGATTCCCGTTGAGCGTGCTAAATGGATTAATAATGTCAGCTTGGAGGGAGGTCTTAGTGAAGTGCCTCTGGGATCTATGCTAGGGCCTGGGTTGTTCACCTTTTAAAATCAAGGACTTGGATAAAGGCATAGAAGGCAGTCTTGGCAGATTTGTGAATGACCCAGAGCTGGGAGGGATAATTAATGTGTCAGGTGATAAATGAAGAGTCCTTCCACCCACACAAAAGAAATCTCACTGGACTAAATCTAAGAAGAGGAAATGTACTAGCTTTTGGCAGACAGAGTGCTACATTCAGCATGAGGAAAATCTGAGTTCGAATCCTGCCTCAGACCCTTACTTAGCTAAGTGACCCCAGGTAAATCACTTACCTCAGCCTCAGGTATTGAGTCTCAGTCTCAGTTTCAAATCAGTTCCTGTAAGTTCAGAGGGTCAATCTGGTAACAAAATAAGGTAATATATGTAAAGTACTTTATAAACCTTGTAGTGCATATATATTTGCATATTATATATATATATACATATATACATATTTATATATACACACACGCACGCAAATGCTAGCTATGGATTGTCTTTATTAGTAAAAAAAAAATGTAAAATTCTACATTTCCATTTTTAAAGATCAGCTTCACAAATACAGGACAGGGAAGGCATGATTAGTCAACAGTTCCTGAAAAAAAAAAAAAGCTCTGAAGACCCAAAAAAGCAGAAATACAAAAGTCAATGTGACATAGTGGATACTTCACTGGACTTGGAGCCAAGAAGACAAATTGTGCGTCAGGCATTTAGCTGTGTGACTTTGGGCAAATCCCTTAATCTCTCTGAGCCTCAGTTCCTCGTCTGTAAAATAGAAATAGAAACTGCAACTGTACAGGGCTGTTGAAAGGAACAAATGAGGCCACGTCTATCTATCTATCTAGATATATATACACCCATAAATACACATATATATACACTTATATATACATATACACGCACACATATAATGGAAGGTGTGCAAAGTTTTTCATATATACATATGTATGAGTGGGTATTTATATGTATGTATGTATATACGCATATACATACATACATACATACATACATACATATATATATATATATATATGACAAAACATTTGCATGCCTTCCAGCACCAGAAAAATCTAAGCTTTTCTTAGGATGTCAGGAGGAAAGACAAACTTGAGGGGGGAAATGATCAGTTAGATTTTTGCTGTGTTTGTATTGAGGGGGACAACAGGCAACCAGATGGCAAAACCCTACTTGGCACATGGAAATGTGGGACTGGAGCCCCAAAGAAGTCAGGGCTGGTGAGGCAGATGCTTTCCATGCATGCACACCAATAATTCTATTTGCTTTTGTCAAACACAACATCCCCCTTTCAGCATATTTCCATTTATCCCAATTTCCAAGTTGACATTATTTCTCATTGACTACATTTTAGATCAGTTGCTTTCTCTTGATACAGCAGGATCTTTGACCAAGGATTTTAGAAGGGACCTTATATATAGTCTAGTTCAGCCTCTGATCCCCACCCACCCGATCTACCCCTCTGGGGCTCCAGAGAGGTGAAAATGAGTTTCTCACATTCATACAAGTATCAAGTGGCAGAGATGGGATTTGAACCCAGGGAGCCTCTGACTCTAAGGCCATCATTCCTCTCACTGATTCACACTTCTGTCATTATTTGATGAAGAAAGTGAATGAGAGAAAATGCCATAGTATGCAAGTCTAATTAAAAGAAAGTTTGTTTCCCCATTCTTATCTCCCTGCTCTCTGGACATCTTCCCATCCTCCTTTTCCCCAGGATTACATCATACTTTGGAGGGTGAAAAACTCTTTTATCTCTAGAACTTCCCCACCCCCATTCCCATCTCCAAGTCCTGCTGTACCCTGGGGGACTGACCCACCTGGCCCACTATTTCAGGCAGGCCTCAGCCATGCTTCCCTCTTCTTCCTATTCTCAGACATGTAACCTTCATCTTCTCTCCTTTTCCAATTCTGGAATCAGAGTCAAATCAACTCTGCCATGGCACCAACAACAGGTTGTC